ATTTTCTCTTTGCTGTCTTTCATTATAATGGCAAGCAATAAGCATGGCGACTGGAAGGATTTTGACAATTATGAAGAATACAGGTATATATATATATTTTGTTTGCAATTCAATTCTCCCTTTAATTTGGGTGATCAGATTATATATAATGACTTGAATATGTATATAAATATTTTCATTCTAATTAGGTATGTGTTGGCAATAGCAATCCTATCAGCATTTTACACAGGATTGCAAACATGGAGACAGGTTTATGAGCTTTCCACTGCTCGAGAGATTCTTTCACGGCACAAAACGGCCATGATTGACTTTTTTGGTGACCAGGTTCATGTCCTTTTTTCCCTCCTTCGGTCCTTCCTTCATTTTATTTTATTTTTGTGAATCGGTGAATTAATTATATGTTCCTTAATTCTTTTTTTTCCTAATAATTCATTTGATGTGATTTATCAATAGAATTTGGTTTAGTTTCTAATTGGGTACGGTGGAATTGCAGATAGTGGCGTACTTGTTGATATCGGCAGCATCATCAGCAGTGCCTCTAACAAACAGAATGAGAGAAGGTGCAGATAACATATTTACAGATTCGTCGGCATCTGCAATTAGCATGGAATTCTTTGCTTTCTTCTCACTCTCTTTGTCCTCTCTCATTTCTGGTTACAAACTCTCTAATCAAACTTATATCTGATCGATGATCACCCATTCATATTCATTCATTCATCAGCAAGTTGTGTTGTTCCTTCACATTTATTTTGCTTTTACATGTAAATTTATTCATTGCTTATATAATTAATATATAACAAGGAGCTAGGGGCTTTTGCTTTTTGAAACTGCATCGATTGATCTGTTTGTAAAGAATAATGAGAAGAATTTTTATTCAGTTCATGATTTCTTTGTTGACTTGGTAAAGACAATGAGTAAAGAGGATTGATTTAACGAGCTAAGTTACATATCTAACGAGGGGGAAGAATAAAACCCAAATCTAGTTGAAATTATTGATCAATATAATGCATATAGATATGCATGAGAAAACGCTGTAAAATGCATAGATGCATAAGAAGACAGTGACAATCAATAATGAGAATATATAGATAATCATAAAGGTTGAAGAACATTTCCTACCCAAAGAGTACCAGGAAAATCACATATTCATCTTTACTTGAAGAAAATCAAGGATAACTAACTCACTCCATGTTGGTGGGTTTTGATTTTCAGATATCAATTGATAATGATGGTGTTGGTGTGATATTTTTTGTCCATGGATAAAGAGAAGGTTATCTTCTTTTTTCTTTGACCAATTCTCTCTGATTCAAACTGTGTACATTGGACTTTGGATTTGGGAATATGTATGCACAAAATATTGCTATTATAGCTTTCTAGATTTCACGTATCACTTCATCATAACTAGTACGTACTGGAATTAATATAAACGGTCTTTGCATTTGGAAATAACAATATCTAAATGAATCCAAATGCAATAGTAGTAGAACAATTAGTCCAGAACTAGTTGCCCTTTTAGCCTTACTTGGAAATGGTAACAATTAACAACTATCAAGAACTTAGTAGTCGTAGTTATTGACTGGCCCAACAGCAACAAACTTTATCAACTTTAGGCCCAACTGCAACAGATTTGTTTCTTCATTTTTATTTTTTTAATAAATGAATGAAGAAAGGAAGGAAGGAGAATAAACTAATCTATAGTTAGAAAAAGATGGCATGAGAAATAAAGGATCGTGTCCGTACATATACAACTCATTTGTTCACAACACATGATAGATAACTAAATTATTAGCGACCACCTAGCTAATATCTCATGCTCCGTGTGTTTTTATCAAGATTTGAACCCCTCAACTTTGTTAGGAAAATTTGTAAGTTTGTTTAAAATACCCACACTACGTGTCAATGCTTATTATATTCAATATTACAAGTTATTATATGAAAATGACATGCGCGCGGTGACGATCATACTAAGCTAATTAAGAGATCAATTATTGGTGCAAATTATTGTCATCTATTCCCACACTATTTAATTAGATGATGTAGGGCCATGTTTTTATATTACTAATAGTAATAATTTTCACGATGAATGGAGACAACTTACAATTATAGGATTATCTATAATGATATATTAGTCCTTTCTTTAATGTGTGGACACGTCGATCGGAAACCACACTACTTTTTCTAATTGATTCCATTTGTAATTAAAATCCAGACTTGATTTATTAATATATCTGTTGATCTTTATAGGATTATAGGCCTTCACTTCCAGCATATTCGCATATTCAACTATTATGCATCTTCCCGGCGCATAATATGTATATATATTAATATTATATTTAGTTAATAGACAAATTTCAAATTTTTTTTTGGAGTACAACTTATCCTAGCTAGTTACCTGCAGCGGGGAGGTCAGGTTTATGAACTAAATCATTCAGCCGCGGCTTGAATTTCTCTTTCCATAAATCGCGTCCAGATCCACTTCTTTTGACCTCCACTACGACCAGTTCTTCCGTTAACCGGTTGATTTCTACCATGAGAACGTATTTCCAATTATGCCCATGCAACCTCACCCCCAATCCCCTCTTTGCCACCCCCATACCCTCCTCCTCTGCCAAGGACTCAAACCTTCCGATTATCCTCTCCGGCGACTCAGCGGACACAAACATTTCAGAATTGATCCGATTCCCACTGTTACCGAACAAACCGGAGAGATCTGAACCGGAGGAATAAGAGATCAAGTCAAAAGCATTCAAGTAACGCGCTTCTGAATATTCCTTAAATTCGAAGTCCCTGTCAACTGGATGCTTAATCTCCTTGTACCCCTTGTTGAACCACGGGTCACTCAGAATCTCGTGCACCGTGATTCTGGTGCTCGGATTTGGATCAAGTACGCGGGTCAAAAACCTCTTGAGATCGGGTGAGGTCCATTTAGGGCAACGGAATTCGCCTTTGTAGATTTTTCTGTACATGGCCATCAAATTGGTGTCGTTGAAGGGTAGATATCCCGCATTCAGAACGTAGAGAATAACTCCGCAGGACCACACATCAACTTTAGCACCATCGTAGCCTTTTTTAGCTAGGATTTCCGGTGCTACGTAAGCAGGAGTACCGCACAACGTATGGAGCAAACCGTCGGTTTGGATCTGATCCGTTACAGCGCTGAGTCCGAAATCAGTGACTTTCAAGTCCCAGTTTTCGTCTAATAACAGATTTTCGGGCTTGAGATCACGGTGGAAAACGCCGTGGGAGTGGCAGTAATCGACGGCAGAGATTAATTGCTGGAAATATTTGCGGCAGAGATCTTCACTAAATCTACCTTTGGCGATCTTTGCAAACAACTCACCGCCTTTGGCGTATTCCATGACGAAGTAGATCTTGGTTTTGGTAGCAAGGACCTCGTGGAGGCGCACGATGTGGGGGTGGCGCAGCCTGCGCATGATAACGATCTCCCGTTTAATGTGAACAGCTAGGTTTCCTTTCTGAATACGCTGCTTGTTGATAGATTTGATAGCCACGCTTTGGCCGGTGCGGAGGTCACGGGCGTGGTAGACCTTGGCGAAGGCTCCGCACCCAAGGAGTTTACCAAGATCATATTTTGTGAAGAGATTGGGGCTCAGCTCCTCTGCCGCCGCGCCGTTGCCTTCTGAATTCCCATCTTCTTCATGATCTCGCATAATTAATTAATTAATACAACATATTTGCGATAATGATCGAGCAATTCAAA